GCAACCTCCACCTCCCAAGTTCAAGCGATTCTCCCACCTTAGCCTCCGGAGTAGCCGGGTTTACAGGCACATGTAACCACGCTGGGGTAATTTTTGTGTTTTTAGTAGAGACGGGTTTCACCATGTTGACCAGATCCAGACTAGTCTTGAACTCCTGACCTCAAGTGATCCACCTGTCTCAGCTTCCCAAAGTGATGGGATTATAGGTGTCAGCCACTGCACCCGCCTTGGAATATTTGATAATATATTTTATTTTAAGGTGTGCCTTTCGGTGAGTGTGCCCAGGAGGAGGATGGCTGTGGAGATGGGCAGGTGCCCTCCCTGCTGTGTACCAGGCCCTGTGTCTGGCCTAGCCAGTCCACAGCTGCAGGCTGAGCAATTGTCCATAGGCCAGACAGGATGATGTCCTGGCCTTGGCTCTGCCCACGACTGCTGCATGCCCTTTTTACAGTTGCTTGGCAGTGGGTGAGCCTGGTTTGCTCCACCAGCTGAGGCCCAGGCTGCAGTGGTGCTGGCCAGAGAGGACAGAGTTAGTGGCATGGGACCTGCCACAATCCACAGCCGGAGTCAGAGCCGATTTCCCAGTCCGCAGAGTGAGATAGCGGATCTCGTGGTCTCCAAGGATTCATCCGGCTCTGTTTTCCTCAACCCGGGGTTTGCCTCGAGGCCTGTGGCTGATGCCCTGGGCTCCAGTCTTTCTAAGCAAGGGAGCAAAGCTGAGCAGAAGTTGGCCTCCACATTATTGGCATTTCACCTCCATTCTGAGCTTCCTCTCTCTGGCGTCCCCATCAGTTCTGTGCCCCTTGAGGGGGGGCTTCCCAGAGGAAGAGTTGGCCAAAAGGGGCCTTCATGTATGACGTGGAAGGAGGAAGGAAAGAGGTAGCTGTTGGCCGTCCGCGGTGTCACTAGCTAGGACTAGGTCCATTCTGCCTGTGCACAGCAAGTCCATCATTTGCGACATGGGTTTTGCAAAAGAAAAAAGATGGATTCACAAGGCAGCCAAAGGAGGAAGTGGAAGAACAGCTCTCAAGTCCACCTCCCCGGCGATAAGGCTGGGAGTTGTTTCCAGGTTAGGGAAGTGTGATGCTCTAAGATGTGGAGGGAGGTGATTGGCAGTGGGGGAAAATGAAGTAATAGGTTCATTTTGTGCAGAGGAGGCCGGGCACGGTGGCTCACGCCTGTAATCCCAGTACTTCGGGAGGCGGAGGCAGGCGGATCACACAGGCGATCGAGACCATCCTGACTAACATGGTGAAACCCCATCTCTACTAAAAATACAAAAAGTTAACTAGGCGTGGTGGCACATGCCTGTAGTCCCAGCTGCTGTGGAGGCTGAGGCAGGAGAAATGCTTGAATCTGGGAGGCGGAGGTTGCAGTGAGCCAAGATCGCACTACTGCACTCCAGCCTGGGTGACAGAGCTAGACTTAGTCTCAAAAAAAAAATGTTCAGAGTAAGGCAGTGCAAGGCTCTGGTCAGTTTCCGGGTACTTCCTTAGCCCTGTAGCTTTTGTTCTTGTGGTTACAATGTGGCTGCTATTTTTCCAGGCCTTGGATTGCTTTTCTGGGAGGGAAAGAGAGGGTTCAAAGGCCAAATCTGTCTCTTTTTAGCTGAAAAACGTAGATTTCTCAAAAGTTTTAAGATTATACTTCAGTTTTCATCTTTCGGCTGCAAATAAGTTGTGTCACTATTCTCAACTGCAGGGGTGTTTAACTGGGATTGTTGCTTCTTCTCTGTTAGCTCGGTTTTCAAATTTATGAATGGGTATTGAATTTTATCAATCGCTTTTTTGTTTGTTGCTTGAGCATTTTTTCTTGTCTTTTTATGTTGATAAGGTAGCTTACAGTGATTGGCTTTTGAATGTTAACTCACATCGCCTTTCTGGAATTCAGTCAACTTGGTTGTGATGTATGATCAACCCCATTTTATATTTGGTTGAAATGGGTTTGCTCATAGTTCATCTGGAAATTTTGTACTTACACGTTCGCAAGAGGAAGTGGAGTAAGTTTCCTTTCAAGGTGATGTTCTGTTAGGTTTCAATATGAAATATTAAGGCTATGTTGGTTAAACAATTTGGAAACTGTTTCTTCTCCTATTTTTGAGAGTTTATATAAGAAGTGTGCTATTTCTTCATTAAGCATTTGGAAAGAATTCTCTTATTAAGCCACGTGAGACTGCAGTTTTCTTTATAAGGTTTTTAATTACAGGTTTAATTACATAAAAATGACTATTTGATGACTATTTGTTTTGCTAAGCCGTCTTTGTTGAATCAATTTGTTCATTTTATCTCAAATTTCAAACTTGTTCTAATATTTATCTTTTTTTTTTTTTTGAGATGGAGTTTCATTCTGTCACCAAGCTGGAGTGCAGTGGTACGATCTCGGCTCACTGCAACCTCTGCCTCCCAGGTTCAAGCGATTCTCCTGCCTCAGCCTCCCACCAAGTAGCTGGGACTACAGGTGCGCACCACCACATCCAGCTAATTTTTTGTGTTTTTAGTAGAGATGGGGGTTTCACCATGTTGGCCAGGATGGTCTTGATCTCCTGACCTCATGATCCGCCCGAGTAGGCCTCCCAAAGTGCTGGGATTACAGGTGTGAGCCACCATGGCCGTCCTCATTTATCTTTTTAATATTGCT